CCACGACCAAAAGACAAGCGCAGCTTCTTCACGTGTCTCTAGGCTCCATGTGCCTCCTCCAGGTCTCCTGGCTCCATCCTGCTTCCTTCCTCAGTCTCTTCTTTAGCTTCTCCTCTTCCTGCTCAGCTCCACCCTCCCTTGGGTGGGGCAGGGAACCTCCCCCTTTCCTGGGGACCACCCTGTTACAATGGCACACCATTGCCATTCTATGTTCAAAGCAAGTACCAGTTCAAATGGAAAGTCAGGACTCTCATGGTTGTCATTACCTCTGTACACCCAATCATAGAGGTACTGATGTGGAATGAGAACACAAAATGCCAGTGTCCCCAAGATGCATTGTCTAAAGAAGATAACAGCAGTTTTACCTGACATAAACATTGGCAAGAAACAAAGTATTCAGGAATCAAGAGACTTCAAACTAAAAGTTATTAGAACCTCAGCTTTCAGCAGTTACAGCTGTCTATAAAGCCTGAATGAGGGGGTAATTTTATTTGGATTGATTACTAGAAACCTATATTTTTGTTAAATTTATTTGTCCGTATCTTGTTAGAAAGCTGTAACGTCATGTAAACATGAAGATAGCTCTAGTTTTGCTTAAGGTCAGAGTCACCATTTCGGGGAAAATCAGGACAGTTTTAAGTTCTAGTTGTATTACTGTAAATGTTTGATATAAGGATACATTCAAACTTTGGCCCCTGTTTTGGTTTTTCTTTGATAATTCTCCACTTTGGTCATTCTCTCAATTGAATTGAGTGTGACCTACTATTTAGCATAAACTTTTGATCAACATATGATTTACCTTTTCATAATCCTTTGAAGGTCACAAACCAGGATTTCAGTAGATTCTTCTGAACATTCAAGGTCATGTAGTTTTGGGCTATTCAACTCTCACACAGATCATCTGATGAATTAGTGGCTGCTGACAAACATTTAAGATTCTTGAAAGAATATAACACATAGGAGTATTATCAATATGACTATTAGGAGGATATCCAAAAATTAAAGTGTGCATTCATCCAAATTTAACCAAGTAAAAGATCAAATGAATAAGATTCAAGTTTTACTTTTCCAAGTAAATTTGTATTTTTCTGGATAATATGTGGTTGAGTTTCAATTTTTCCTGAGTAATTTACATAGGCACAATATGATGCAAAGAATAACAAGTTCTTTTTTTTTTTTTTTCACACCTGTGAGTATAATGTTTTCTCTGGGTTTGTCAAATATGGGCTTTATTATGTTTACATATGTTCCTTCTATGCTCACTTTGTTGAGTTTTTTATTTTTATCATGAAAGGATATGGAATTTAGTCAAATATTTTTCTTGTATGGCGGTAGTATTATAATTTTTGTCTTTCCTATTAATGTGATATATCTTTCATTTGTATGTATTGAGTCATGCTTGAGTCTCAGGGATAAATACCACTTGATACTGGCATATAAGCCTTTTATTGTGCTGTTGAATTTGTTTTCTGCTAGAATAACAAGTTCTTTATTGTTCTGTTAGTTAAATTACTTAAGGCTATGTGTGTAATGTAACTCTGGCTAAAGAGTTTATAGATTTTAGGTATAGTTGTGAGTTTTTGCAATAGATTAGATGTTCAAGTGCTATCTTTTGTTGGCATCTTTTCTAATAAACTAAGTCTCTGGTTTTAATGTATGAGGCACATGGTCTTCTTTTGGAAATGCTTCACAGAAAGCTCTTTTGACCTGGTGGAAATAAGTCTTTGAATACTGCATTTGTGTCTTACAGTACTGACCCATGTCATGATTATTTAGGACAAGATTAACATAAGGATGTCTCATTTCAGGAGACAGTATTGCAGAGGAGCTTCCATCTATGTAAATCCCTATAGGGTATGAGCAATCCAGTATTTAAGAAGAGGGCATTTGAACTTCGTCTTAAATGGAAAGGGAAGCTGTTTGTTTCCTACTTAATTTGTTTTGTCAAAATATCACTCTATGAAGATCATAAGGGAGCGGAGTCTGTGCAAAGAGGTTAGTTGGCTGGATTAAGAGAAGGAAAATAGGGGCCTCCCTGGTGGCAAAGGCGGTTGAGTGCCACACTATGAAGCTGTTCACAGCCTCTGCAGCGCAGGTTCTACCCTGGCCGACCCGGGAGAAAACTTCATAGTAAGGCAGACCTCTCCTGTCTCACCTGCTGCTCCCCTCAGCAGTGTATTTCCTCGGTCTGCATGCTCTGTTCCCGCTCTGTCTCTGGTGAATCTTCTCACCCTCCTGCACATCTGGCCTGTACCCAGGTTCTTGTATAAATAATAAATCTTTTTAAAAAAAAGAGAGAGAGAGATGGAAAATAATGGACGTGAGAAATACTGATAAGGTATTGGGTGCGGATCGGTTAAGGGAAAATAAGACTCAACAAGAAGGGTGTAGGTGCAGGATGGTCACAGGGCAGGTTTCAGGATCCAAGCAGACCAGGTAAAAGAGGAGTCCTGGAGCCCTCGATGGCTTTCTCAGGCTTTTTTTGAGCTGTAGCATGTAGAGCAGCGACCAGGTACACTACAGGCAGGGGTGCTGGGGGGCCAGAAGACCTCCAAGCCCCCAGCAAGTCTTCACCCTGAGCTGAGTTCTCTCTCTCCTTCTCTCTCCTGCTTTTGCTTCTCTTGGTGACTATCTCTATACTCCTCCCATGGCCCACAGAAGTAAATAAGACAGCTTGCAGCAATGTAACAACTGCAGGTGCCCCATCAGGCAGGGCAATCCTAATGGTGGGACGGCAGAAAAGCCTGAAAACCATTTACCATACAATCCACCCCCTCAGGGTTTTCTGCTATACAATCTATATACAAGTATATACAAGTTTCCTTTAACAAACACAAACACTGCAGCCATGGCCCACAAAAGAAAATAGCATACAACTGAATAATGAAACAATGCAACAGAACATAAATAATTCCAGGCAGGGCACCAATCTAGTGGCAAAAGACAGGATTATTGGCACCAGCAGATGATCCACCACTTCTGCTGCTGAAGGCACTACTCATGCAAGGGGGGAACCACTCTGGCTTCTGCCGTCACACGCCAGGAACTGTCACGTCAGGCTTCTCTGGCTGTGGTCTAGGCCACAAGCCTCACACCACATCCACCCCCAGGATGCACTTGCTCTTGGATTGGTGATTCTGTACTTTGGGGGTAATCACCCAATCCTCAGGGGTTCTGCCTGCGGTCTCTCCAACACTGGGCTTTTATAGCCACCAATGCCACACATAGACCCCTGCACTCAGGCCAACCCATTGCACATGCACATGGGTCAGGAATCCGTGGATACAAGCTCCACATGCGGCCTCTCTTGGGTCCCCTCTTTGGCTGTGGGCTCTACCACAAGCCACACTCCTCACCCATCCCCCAAGGACGGGTTCCTCAGCTCCTCACCCTCACTCAGCAATGAGCAGGGCATCACCCACAGGTGATTTTAAGAGACTCACTGGCCTTCTTCAACATACTTGGGCCTCTTAGCAGCCACTCAGGGCTTCCCAATCTCAGCACCAGCTTTTGCCTTTCTAAATTGGCTTTTCCTCTGCCTAGCTGCTGGGCAGTACACGGGGTACTTTTGGCCATTAAGGCCCACTGGCCACCCCCAGATTCCCATCTCCTGGTGTGTACAAACAATACCATCCTCCCCCAGGGTCCCAAAACCAGAACATTACCCTACCAAAGTTCCTCCGCCTTCCGGCGGGATTGTATGTCCAAGTCCATCAGTCTTTTTTTGCATCAGCACTGGCGAGCTCGGAATCGTGGTCCTTCTTTCTGACAATTTTGCTGCCTCAGGGGTCCTGGGCTGGTTTTCACTGGCGGTCTCCTCCTCCACTTGAGGTCTCGTCCCGCAGCTCCCAGACCTTGTCCACCTCCTGTGCTCCTGCAGCATCTTTAGCTTTTTCCACAGCTCCTAGACTTTACTCACAACTCGTGCTGCCATGGCACGTCCAGCGTTGTCACAGACAAACACAGTCTGGTACGCCTCAGTCCCTCCTGACATCTTCAGAGGGCCCCATACCCCTCTTTCAGAACATCCTGCCAACTACGCCAATTGTAGGGGCAGGATGGTCACAGGGCAGGTTTTAGGATCCGAGCAGGCCAGGTAAAAGAGGAGTCCTGGAGCCCTTGATGGCTTTCTCAGGCTTTTATTGAGCTGTTACATGTACGGTAGCGACCAGGTACATGGCTGGCAGGGGTACCTGGCCCCTAGCAAGTCTTCACTCTGGGCTGGGTTCTCTCTCTCCTGCTTCTGCTTCTCTCAGTGACTATCTCAATACTCCTCCCATGGCCCACAGAAATAAATAAGACAGCTTGCAACAATGTAACAACTGCAGGAGACATATCAGGCAGGGCAATCTTAATGGTGGGACAGCAGAAAAGCCTGAAAACCATTTACCCTACAGAGGGTTCCTGGAGTTTCGGGCTGTGAACTGGAAAGATGCTTATGTCACCTCCGAAGGGTTGAGCCAGAGGTAGCCGGGGAAAGTTAAATATTTTAGCTCTTTGCACTTTCCCTATTAATATCTCCTTAACCCAAAATTCTGTTCCTGTCTTGGTTTTATTTTATTTTATTTTTGTTTTTTATAGCGCATAAAAAGCCGCTCCCATTGCAGCTGGGCGGGCCACCGACGAGAGATTCTTCTCACTAGAGGGCGCCCTCGAGCACAGCCTCGGAGACTGGATGCCGCAAGACTGAAGAAACAGGAAGCTTGTGACCGACCCGAAACACCCCGCGATAAAGGTTTCGGGGTGGCTCCACCCCTAAAAGCCTACAACTCACAGCAGAAAAGCACCGGCAGGCAGCCCGGGTCTGACCACCCGCTCCGCCCACGAGGGTGGTGCGACGGGTGCCCGGATGCAGATGCGCAGACAGAGTGCGTCACGTAACACCGCCCAATGGGGCGGGACTCTGAGGCGTCGCGGATGCGCCGTAGCGTCACGTGACGGCCAAATCAGCCAATGGGTGAGCGCAGCGGCTATTTCGAATGTGGTGGCGGAGACGGCGGGCGACGCGCGACGGTGCCTTAGACCTGCAAGGCCGGGAGCGCCGGGCGCGAGCCCCGGGCGGCATCGCGGGATCTTGGAATGTAGGACGGAGGTGGACGGCTGCGGCAGACGTAGTGGCCAAGGTACCGTGGTGGGCGCGCTTGCGGGAAGTGGCCCCGGGACCTGCTTCCGGCAACTCAGCCCGCCCCAGGCGCCCGGCTGTCCCAGAACCCCGGAGAGAGAGGCCGCGGGTTTTTCAGGTGCGGAACTGGGGCGTGGGGACCCCTAGTCCCGCCCTAGTCCCCCCGCCCTCGCGGCTTTCTCCGTAATTCTAAGATCGGTGCCCCAGAGTTCGGGCTGCGCTCTCCGATCATCTAAGTTCCTTTTCTGTTAAAAATCTCGTACCATGGGGCCTCCCTGGTGGCGCAAGGGGTTAACCACCGCGCTATGAAGCAATCCGCAGCCTCTGCAGCTCGAGTTCGATCCCCAGCCGGCCAGGGAGAAACGCACATGGTGCAGCAGACCTCTCCTGCCTCACTCACTGCTCCCCTCAGCAGTGTATTTCAGTCAGTCTGCCTGTTTTGTTGCCCACTCTGTCTCTGGTGAATCCTCTCAACCGCCCGCATCTCTGGCCTGTGCCCCAGCCCTTGTATGCATAAATAAATAAATCTTTAAAAAAAAGAAATCTCGTACCTTGCAAAGTTGTGATATGTGAGTAAAGTAGTCGCTGTATTTAAAAAGGCGGCACTCCCACTGCCCACCTGTGACTATGCAGGTGCCTCTTTTCACCAACTCTCTCCCTCTACAGGGCAGCAGCCTCCTATCTGCCCGTGACCTGTCAAGGCTGCCCTCCTACAACCATGCAGGCCTCTCAGCAAACCTGTCCCTTCTGGGGAGGCTCTTCCTGCCCATTCTTGTCTATGCAAGTTTCCTTTATTCTTCTGTCCCTTTCCCTAATAAACCTGCCCTTTAAATATAAAAATAAATAAATAAATAAAAAGTAAGGGTTTACAACTCTGCGGCGCGTTACCCTGACGTCTTCCCTGGTACAGGCTTTTTGTCCCTCTTACTCTGTAGAGGCGGGCACTGACCAGTATTCAAGCCTCGGCAGCAGGATTAATAAAAGAATTATGGGGCCTCCTCGGTGGCGCAGCGGTTGAGCGCTGGGTTGCGAAGCTGCCTGCAGCCTCTGCAGCACCGGCTAGGTGAATTCTCTCACCCTCCCGCGCTACTGAGTGTACCCAGTGCTTGTATGTGTAAGTAAGTAAAAGTAAGTAAGGTAAAGTAAGTAAATAAAGTAAGTAAAGTAAGTAAGTAAAGTCAGTAAAGTAAGTAAGTAAAGTAAGAAAAGTAAGTAAGTAAAGCAAGTAAGTAAAGTAAGTAAAGCAAGTAAGTGAAGTAAGTAAGTAAAGTAAGTAAGTAAATAGATGCAAATATTTTTTAAAAAAAGAATTATGATGGTAATCAAATATTCTAGATTCTTTTGCATCCAAACCCTTTAACCAAATATTATACGACTTGAGACTGTCAAGCGGCCTTGATCTCTTTTCATCCATTCCCTGCACCACACCTCCTCTTAACAACACTGGCCTGCAAAGTGCAATCTAGGGTAAAAGGTGTTCATGAAAGGTAGTTCTTAGCAGCAGTAGACATTCTTAGTGGCAGAAGACTATAGCATATCTGCTTTGCATTCAGAGAGTAAGTGTACTAATGTATTCATGTTTTCCTATTATTTTAAAAGATTTATTTATTTATGCAGACAAGAACTGGGGTAAGGCCAGAGGTGTGTGGGGTGGGAGGATACACCAGAGACAGAGTGGGGAACAGAACAGGCAGCCTGACTGAAACACTGCTGAGGAGAGCAGCAGGCGAGTCAAGAGAGGTCTGCTTCACATGTGGGTAGCTCCCTGGCCAGCCGGGGGATCGAACTTGTGCTAACTGCAGTGGCTGTGGATAGCTTCATAGGTTGTGTCTTAAACCCTTGCACCACCAGGGAGGCCCATGTTTTCCTATTTTTAACTGTATGTAGAACAGTCATGGTTAGTGTCTTGTTTGCTCTATTCATGATTTCCTGGCCGCTCACAGACCTGAGAGTTTTACAAATAACTGAGAAAAATTGGCATATTCTTCTGCCTCAGTTTCTGGTCTTTCTAGCTAACGATTATAATTGCCTACTAATATTGCATATAGTACCACACAATTTAAAGCTCTGAAGACCCCTTTGACTTTCTTGAGAGGGTGTGCCTATCTTACGTAGTAGTGGGTTTTAAGAGTGTGAGAATGACAGGTAATTGAGTAACCTAATCTGATTTACAGAGAACTAGAATATAAAATATATATGATTGCCTCTGAACTAGTGCTATAAGTCTAAATACTAAAAGCTGGCCATAAATGTTTTTAGGAAGCAAATAATAGCATCAAAATATAGTATTACTTTCCATATTGTCTGGCATATAGTAAGCCCCCAATGAGTATTAAGGGTTTTTTTTTTTTTTTTAATATTTATTTATTTATGCATACAAGAGCTGGGGTACAAGCCAGAGATTGTCGGGGGGTGAGAGGATTCACCAGAGACAGAGTGGGGAACAGAACAGGCAGGCTAACTGAAGTAAACTGCTGAGGGGAGCAGCGGATGAGACAGAAGAGGTCTGCCATGCCATGTGGGTTGCTCCCAGGCCAGCCGGGGATAGAACTCGTGCTGCAAAGGCTGCAGAGAGCTTCATAGTGCGGTGCTTAACCCTTTGTACCACCAGGGAGGCCCCAGTGAGTATTTGTTAAAGAATAAATTTCATACTATGAAATCTCTGGGTTGGAAATCTGCATTTTTTTTTTAAATTTCCTATAAAGTACACGAGGAGGATAATATTATGCCCAAAATATTGAGATTTAAAAGCTACCAAATAAGGTTATTATCAGTTTAGCTGTCTGTTTTGCTCTAATTCTTCAGTTACTCTGTTTAATTCATTCCTTATGAATAACCTGTTTTAAGTCTTGTTTTTCATTTGATATTATCTCTTAGGAAAATTGAAGTTTTTATTGTTTTAAATTCCTAGACAGAAGATGGCCAAGGAAAGGTGCCTTAAAAAGTCCTTTCAAGATAGCCTTGAAGATATAAAAAGACGAATGAAAGAAAAAAGGAATAAAAACTTGGCAGAGGTTGGCAAGCGAAAGTCTTTCATAACTGCGCCTTGCCAAATAATCAGTAAGAGATTCTCATGTTGTTCTTTTTGCATCACTTTTTAAATTAATTTAGATTTAATAACTAATAAAAAAAATTTATCTTTATAGTCAACACTTCGACACAGCTGAAAGGCTACCAAGACAACAACAGAATGTTAGTCTTAGCTTTGGAAAATGAAAAATCCAAAGTGAGAGAAGCCCAAGATATCATTCTACAGCTGAGAAAAGAATGTTACTATCTCACATGTCAGCTATATGCATTGAAAGAAAAACTTACATCACAACAAACAGAAGAAACTGCTCAGGTATTTTCATTATAAAGGCTGATTTTCTTTTTTTCTTTTTTTTTTTTTTTTTTAAATATTTATTTATTTAGATAAGAACTGGGGCACAGGCCAGATGCACGGGAGGGTGAGAGGATTCACCAGAGACAGAGCGGGGAACAGAACAGGCAGATTGACTGAAATACACTGCTGAGGGGAGCAGCAGACGAGATGGGAGAGGTCTGCTGCGCCATGTGGGTTGCTCCACGGCCGGCGGGGATTAAACCAGCACTGCAGAGGCTGCGGACAGCTTCACAGCACTGCACTCTACCGCCTGCGCCACCATGGAGGCCCATAAAGGCTGAATTTCTTAGGAAAAATTGTTAAAGCCATGAATGACCAGTTAAGGAAGCTTCAAGGATATAGGTAATTGAGATTTGTGCTTGTCTAACTTGGTTCTGAAAGCAGGTAGGAAGATAAAATGCAAAAGAAACAATTTAGTCTCTTGCACTACCAGTTCTTTTAAATTCAGCTAAGATAAGGCAACTAAAGCTAATGATCTAAAAGAAGTATTTGAATTAGATTAGTCCAGAAGTTTTCATCATTGCCCTAAGTCTTTTCTGAGTAATTTTGTTATATTCATTGGGGTTTTATAAAAACTAACTTTTCTTGGGGTTTGGAGCATATTTAAGTGCTCTTTGGAGAATCATTTTTATCTGCAAGTTGGCTTAATGAGGAAATTTATAAATTAACTCCCAAACAAGAAATATCCTGATCATTTTGCTGTCTGTTTTTAATCTGATCCTGTTTGTGGCCTAGGTTGAATAGAAAGGCCAGCCAAAATGTTTAACAGACATGGAGAAAGCTTGGTTTAGGATATTCTCCGTGTCTCCTTGCGTATTAATCCAAAGAGAGTAAAAATGAACCAGTTTCTCCCTTCTTTTCCCCAAAAATCATGGCCAGGAAAACTACATGGGACATAGAAAGTGAAAAGCTATGGTGTCAGGTGTTAACAGTTTGCTTTCTTCGTGCATGGCCATCTATTTGCTGTGCCCAGGAAGAAAGAAAGTTATGTTGGCACTTGGAGTAGATAAAAAAGTGAGACTATAGCGGGAGAGAGAAAAATTCCTCTAGGGACATTTAATTCTTTCTCTTCCCTTTCCAAAGATTTTGCTGAAATCATATGTGAATGGTATGAAATGTATATTTAACAAGATAAAAACAGTGGAGAAAAAATAATCTGTTGCAGGTTTTCTGACATTTATCAATAATAATTTTTAAGTATTTATTAAAACATATTGTTAGTTACTGGGCAAACGTGTTCCCAGTATTGAAAACATCGAAGTTGTTTTCTGTCATTCATTTGTTCCTTGTGTGACTGATTCTCAGCCATAATTACACTGGTGCTTCCATGTTTATCCATCAACTTTGCAGGGATGAGGAGGCTTAAATACTTTAATAAGAAGGATGTTCTTGCCTACCAATAAGAAGTTAACTTAATAAGGATTAATCAGAAAGGAATTTCTAATACTCGTTTCCTAAATTTCACAATTGATCTTTTTAATAATTTGTTTTTAAATTATGTCACTTTATAGTTAAACATTTTCCTTTACCTTTCATAGTAATTGTCTTAAAATATTAGCTCTATAGATAATATAAAACTTTTAACAGGGCTAAATTTCTATTTGTTTTGATTCTTATTAACAGTTTTAATCTATTCTTTGTAATGCCAGTACATTGTCCGTCAAATTTCAGAAAACAGTTGATTTAGAATGCTTTCAAGGGAATTAGACTGGAATTCTCATCTCTTTAATAAATATCTACAAACCTGTCTTTTCTTGTATTCTCCATCTTCCCTTTTTGTTTTAGTAACAGAAGTGTCCCTGCCCCTATCAGAAGTCAAGTCCTCCCCTTGTGTATCAGATTCTCTCCGTCTCGTCACTCCTAAGACTGCGCTCCTGAAATTTTGTGTTCCATTCCAATATATATATTTATATATATATCTACCTCTACTAAATCACTTTGGCTTTCATATAAATGTGCTTTAGTATTTCTCACTTTAAGAGGAAAAAGAGAATAATGAAAGCTCTCCTGATTTCATCTCTAGCTCCTCATTTCTCAATTTATCTTCATAGCAGAATTTTCTCAAAAGCAGTGCACTTACTGTTTTCACTTCAAATTCCATTCACATTTGAACTCTTACCTGACTTTTATTCCTGCCATTCTATTGTCACTCTGAGTCAAGGTCACCAAAGCCTCCATCTTAAAAAATTCAATGGTCAGCGGCCTCCCCGGTGGCGCAGTGGTTGAGCGCTGGGTTGTGAAGCTGCCCGAAGCCTCTGCAGCGCCAGTTCGATCCCCAGCCACCGGGCGAGGGTCCCACATGGCGCGCAGACCTCTCCTGGCGCACCCACTGCCCCCCCTCAGCGGTGTACCTCATCAGTCTGCCTGCTCTGCTCTCCCCTCTGGCTCTAGTGAATTCTCTCATCTTCCCGCACTTCTGGCTGTACCCAGTGCTTGTATAAATAAATAAATAAATAAATAATAAAATAAAAATAAAATCCCGCCAACAGTGCACCAGGGTTCCTATTAAAAAAAAAATTCAATGGTCATACCCCTTAATTCTTGATCTTGAAATAATATCCAAGCCAGGGATTTTCTTTGCTTGAAATGCTTGCTCTCTATCTAAACCTCTTGTTGACCTCTTTTAAGTCAATTGTCATTAGACCCATGTTATCTTATCCCTCCCATAGCTTTTAAATGCTTTCTGCTGTGACCTCTACTGGTCTTCATCTCTCTTATGGGACTGTATTCCTAACTTATACCATGTCTTGCTTGATTTACTCCGTTGACTTCCTAACTGCTGCCATTGGCCCCTTTCTATCCATGTTTTCACACAGTGGTCAAACCTATCTTCTTTAAACTTGTATCATTTTCTTCCCTACTCAATATTTAAGTGATTTTCCTTCACACTCAGAATAAAACCCAAACTCATGTCTCTCAAGATATGCACATCTCCTATTCTTCTCAATGACTAGGTTTCTTCCACAATGGCCTTTCTTTTCTAATCCAGACAGGTTTTTCCTACATCATGATTTGTCTATGTATTTCCACTGTCTGCTCTTTGTACTGCTCTTTTCTTTTTTTTTTTTTTTTAAATAATAAATATTATTTTTATATTCCCCCATACAACTGCACATGCCCCATTCTGACCCCAATCCCTCCCCTCCCGGTCCCCACCCCCCAAAAAGTGTCTCTGGTTCATAGTTTTTTGTTGATTTTGATTTTCACTTTCTTATAGTTATTCATTTTCCTGATCCCTTATTTAAGTTTTCTAGATTCCTGCTATGAGTGAGACCATCCGGTATTTTTCTTTTTCTTTTTGGCTTATTTCGCTGAGCATGATCCCTTCCAGCGCCATCCATGTTGCTGCAAATTGCATGTGTTTATCTTTTTTGAATGCTGAGTAATATTCCATGGTATCTATGTACCACATCTTCTTGATCCAGTCATCTATTTTTGGGCATTTGGGCTGTTTCCAAAGCTTAGCTATTGTAAATAGTGCTGCTATAAACATAGGGGTGCAGGTGTTCTTTGGAATTGATGTTTCTGTGTCCTTTGGGTAAATACCTAGGAGTGGAATTGCTGGATCATATGGAAGCTCTATGTTTAGTAGGTCCAGAAATCTCCACACAGCTCTCCATAGTGGTTGGACCAGTTTGCATTCCCACCAACAGTGCAGGAGAGTTCCTTTTTCTCCACACCCTCACCAACATTTGTTGTTGCTAGTTTTTTTAATATGTGCCATTCTCACTGGTGTGATATGGTATCTCATGGTAGTTTTGATTTGCATTTCCCTGATGACAAGTGATGTTGAACATTTTTTCATATGTCTGTTGGCATTTGCATTTCCTCTTCAGTGAAGTTTCTTTTTAGCTCTTCTGCCCATTTTTTGACTGGGTTATTTTCTTTGTTGTTGTTGAGTCTCATCAACTCTTTGCAGATTTTTGTGATCAATCCTTTATCATTAGTGTTGGGTGCAAAAATGTTCTCCCAGTTGGTGGGGTTTCTCTTTGTTTTTGTTATTGTCTCTTTTGCTGTGCAGAAGCTCTTTAATTTGATGTAGTCCCAGCTGTTTATCTTTGCCTTCACTATCACTGCTTTGGGTGATGTGTCTGTAAAGATGTCTTTGATATGCAGATCACGTAGTATGTCACCTATATTTCCTTCTATGTATTTTATGGTTTCAGGTCTTATGTCTAGTTCTTTAATCCATTTTGAGTTGATTTTTGTGTATGGTGTGAAGTAGTGGTCAAGCTTCATTCTTTTGCATGTAGCGACCCAGTTTTCCCAGCACCATTTATTGAACAAACTTTCTTTGCTCCAATGCATAGTCTTTGCTCCTTTGTCAAAGATTAGTTGACCATAAATCTGTGGGTTTATTTCTGGATTTTCTATTCGATTCCATTGGTCTGTATGTCTGTTCTTGTTCCAATACCATGCAGTTTTGATGATTATGGCTTTGTAGTATAGTTTGAAGTCTGGGAGTGTGATGCCTCCATTTCCTTCTTTTTTTTCAGTAGAGCTTTGGCTATTCGGGGTTTTTTGTGATTCCATATGAATTTCATCAATAATTGTTCTATTTCTTTGAAGAATGACATTGAAATTTTGATTGGAATAGCATTGAATCTGTATATTGCTTTTGGAAGGATGGCCATTTTAATAATGTTTATTCTTCCAATCCATGAGCAGGGGATGTCTTTCCATTTCTTTGTGTCTTCTTCTATTTCTTTTAACAGTGTTTTATAATTTTCTTTGTATAGGTCCTTTACCTCTTTTGTTAGATTTATTCCCAAATATTTGATTTTTTTTGTTTCGATAATAAAAGGGATGGTTTTCTTGATTTCTTCTTCTTCAGATTTATTGTTTGTGTATAGGAAGGCTACTGACTTTTGCGTGTTGATTTTGTATCCTGCCACTTTACTGAACTGATTGATGAGTTGAATTAGTTTTTCTGTGGAGTTTTTGGGGTTCTCTATGTATATTATCATATCATCTGCAAATAGTGATAGTTTGACTTCTTCTTTTCCTATTTGGATTCCTTGGATGTCTTTCTCTTGTCTTATTGCTCTGGCTAGGACTTCCAGTATTATATTAAAAAGCAGTGGTGAGAGTGGACATCCTTGTCTTGTTCCAGATCTTAATGGAATTGCTTTCAGCTTTTCACCATTGAGAATGATACTGGCTGTTGGCTTGTCATAGATGGCCTTTATGATGTTGAGGTATGTTCCTTGTATCCCAAGAATTTCAAGGGCTTTTATCATGAATGGGTGTTGCACTTTGTCAAAAGCTTTCTCAGCATCTATTGATATTATCATATGGTTTTTATATTTCTTTTTGTTGATGTGTTGGATAACGTTGATTGATTTTCGGATGTTAAACCATCCTTGTGTCCCTGGAATGAATCCTACTTGGTCGTGGTGAATTATCTTATGGATACATTGTTGGATTCTGATAGCTAAAATTTTATTGAGGATTTTTGCATCAGTGTTCATTAGGGAGATTGGCCTGTAGTTTTCCTTTTTTGTGTTGTCCTTGTTCGGTTTTGGTATAAGTGTAATGTTGGCTTCATAGAACGTGTTTGGTATTGTCCCTTCCTTCTCAATTTTTTGGAAGAGTTTGTGAAGGATAGGCACTAATTCATCTCTGAATGTTTGGTAGAATTCATTTGTAAATCCATCAGGTCCTGGGCTTTTGTTTTTGGGGAGGTTTTTGATTACCATTTCAATTTCGCTGCTTGTAATTGGTCTGTTTAGGTGTTCTATTTCTTCTTTATCTAGCTTTGGGTGATTGTAGAGTTGTAGGAATTTGTCCATCTCCTCTAGATTGTTAAACTTGTTTCCATATAACTGTTCATAGTAGTTACTGATTATTCTTTTGATTTCTGCTGTGTCCGTTGTGATTTCTCCTCTTTCATTGATGATCCTGTTTATTTGTGCTTTCTCCCTTTTTTCCTTTGTGAGCCTGGCTAGGGGTTTGTCTATTTTATTGATTTTTTCAAAGAACCAGCTCTTGGTTTCATTGATCTTTTGGATTGTTTTTTTAGTTTCAATTTCATTTATTTCTGCTTTGGTTTTTATTATTTCTTTTCTTCTACTGGTTTTGGGTTTTTTTTTGTTCTTTTTCTAGATCTTTGAGCTTTGAGATTAGGTTGTTTCTTTGAGCTCTTTCTTGTTTCTTGATGTGAGCTTCTATTGCTATATATTTTCCTCTTATTACTGCTTTTGCTGCATCCCATACATTTAGGATATTGGTGTCCTCCTTGTCGTTCAATTCAAAGAATTTTTTAATTTCTTCTTTGATCTCCTCATTAGTCCAGTGGTCTTCCAGTAGTGTGGTTTTTAATCTCCATGAGGTAGGAAAGTTCCTTGCCTTCTTTTTATGGTTTATTTCTAGTTTGATGCCTTCATGGTCAGAAAAGATGGTTGATATGATTTCAATCTTGGTGTATCTGTTGATGTTTGTCTTGTGCCCCAGTATGTGATCGATCCTGGAGAATGATCCATGTGCGCTTGAGAAAAATGTGTACTCCGTTTTTTGGGGGTTTAGTGTTCTATAGATGTCTGTTAAGCCCAATTGCTCTAGGTCCTTATATAGAGCTTTGGTTTCTTTACTTATTTTTTGTCTTGTTGATCTATCCATTGTTGATAGTGGTGTGTTGAAGTCTCCCACTACGTATGTGTTTTCTCTGATGTCTGTTTTCAGAGAGGACAACAGTTGTCTGATATATTTTGGTGCTCCTTCGTTTGGTGAGTATATGTTAATGAGTGTTATTTCTTCTTGAAGTATTGTCCCCTTGATCATAATGTAGTGACCATTGGGGTCTCTTTTTATCTTTTTGAGTTTGAAATGTGTTTTATCTGATATAAGTATAGCTGTTCCTGCTTTCTTTTTTGGTCCATTTGCTTGTAGGATTGTTTTCCATCCTTTGACTTTGAGCCTATTTTTATCTTTTGTAGCTAAATGTGTTTCCTGGAGACAGCAAAAGGTTGGGTTTTGTTTCTTAATCCAGGCTGCAACTCTGTGTCTTTTTATTGAAGAGTTTAGTCCATTTACATTTAGAGTTAATATTGATATGTTAGCATCTGTATTTGCCATTGTGTTTGTCTTTCCTTTGATTTTATTTATTCTTTTAATAACTTTTTTTTTTTTTTTTTTTGGTCTTCTTTCGTTGTTATTCGTCCTCTGAGGTTCTGGCTTTAGGACTCCTTGTAGTATTTTTTGGAGTGGGGGTTTAGTTGTAATGAAATTCCGGAGTTTCTGTTTGTCTGGGAAGGTCCATATTCTTTCTTCAAAGAGGAAGGAGAGCTTTGTGGGATAGAGTATTCTTGGTTGGCATCTGTTTTCTTGGAGTCTGTTGACTATGTCCCTCCACTCTCTCCTTGCCCGTAGTGTTTCTTCGGAGAAGTCTGATGTCAGCCTGATTGGTTTTCCTTTGAATGTTATCTGTTTCTTCCCTCTTGCCAGCTTCATTATTTTTCCTTGTCCTGGATTCTTGGGAGCTTTACTATTATGTGTCTTGCTGTATTTTTCCTTTCGTCGTGGAAGTTTGGTGTTCTTGCTTCTTGTATATCAATTTTCAGCTCCTTCTTCACATTTGGGAAGTTCTCTTCAATTATCTCTCTGAATATTTTCTCTGTTCCTACATCTCTCTCCTCTCCTTCTGGAATTCCTATAACTCTTACATTTCCTTTCCTCATGGAGTCAGATAGTTCCCGAAGTCTTTCTTCGTTCTTTTTCCTTCTTACATCTCTTTCCTTTTCTGTTTTGGTTCTTTTTATTTTTGTGTCTTCAAGAGTACTTATTCGTTCTTCCATTTCATCTATTCTGCTTTCATTGCTTTTCCCAGAGTTCTTTAGTTCCTCCATTAATTCTTTGATGTCTTGCATTTCTTTTACTTCCCTCTTTAGGGACTCAATTTCATTCTTCTGACCATTGTTTTCCCTCTTTAGGGACTCAATTTCATTCTTCTGACCATTGTTTTCCCTCTTTAGGGACTCAATTTCCTTCTTCTGATCGTTGTTTTCCCTTATGACTTCTGCCACTTTTTTAATCAGGGCAATTTTAAATTCTCTTTCTGGAAGGCTCAGAAGTTCTTCCAAGTTACTGTCGTTGCAATCTGGAGGGTGGTTTTCTTTTTGTGGTGTGCTTCTTTCCTGAGGCGTTGTTAGGTTGCGTGTGGTTCTTCTACTCGCTACTGTCTGTTTTCTAATTTGTCGTATGCATTGGGACACTGTGTTGCTCGGACTGGCCATCATCTTGGGTGAACTTCTCCGCTCCCCTCTGGCTTCTTCCAGTAACCATCTCTGGCTTCTGGGGGAGCTTTCTGCTGGTTTTAGGCAGTCTTTACTGAAGAAATGTCCCTGTTCGAAACTGGCGAAGCGGGATGCAGTCCCTGCGCATCCGGTCTCAGGCACACTCTTCTGCGTGCCCGGTCTGCCCCGGACGTGGGTGCCTGCTCCCTCTGTGGGCTCAGACTGCTGGTTGGAAGGGGCCTGGCGTGGGCTAACTTCCCAGCTGGCCACTGGGTCCTCCAGAAGCCTTCTGCCCTTTTCAAGAAGTCTTAAGAAATTTCCCTGTTCTATGGGGTGTTAGTGACTTTTTTTCTGGTCGCTAGGTGGCAACCTATTGTCCTTGGGGGGCTGTTTTTCAACCCCCCCACCCCCGTGGGACAGGGAACAGAGAGCTAGAATGGTAGGGTAAACCTCAACGGCTTTGGGGTGCTGTGTCTGCCTTGTGCCCCACCGTCGTGGAGAACCCACGCCCAGAATTTCGTGCCCCGGGTCTCAGTTCAAAGCCCTCAGGTCCAGGACGCGGGCTGTAGCCCAGTTCAGTGGCGCGGGAATGGCGCCTTTTGCACCCGCTCCCGTGCCTGGGCGCCTGGTTCCTGCTTACTCAGTGAGGGACTTTCACCCCCGTGAGGGCCTCCGCGCGTCTCCCCGCAAGCCTAGGTCGCAGGCGCAGGGACCTGGGCAGCCGGGATCCCGGTCCGCGTTTGCTTTTCAAATGCGCCAAGCGCGCCGCTTTTCTGTGCAAGCTTACCGGCAGCCCGGGCTGTGTGCGCGTCTCCCGGGGTCTTTGTTCTTCTCTAATGGCGCCCGGAGCCGTTCGCTCACCGCTGCGGTGAATCCTGCAGGGTTCTCCACAGCTCCTGTTCACAGGGTGTGGTGGCTGCAATAGTTCCTTTCCACTCACAGTCCCGCTTGCTGCATAGTTTGTTCTTGTTGGCCGTTTTGGTTTGTTGTTTTCCTCCTCTCTGCCGGTCGGAGAGTGCCGACTCTGTGGGCGGGGGAGGGGAGCAGGGTTCTGCCTCTACTGCTCTTTCAATAGCTGACTCTTGCATTCTTCAGATTTCAGATGAAAATCACTTTCTCTGAAAGAGCTCCCCGCCTCAGTTACACTTTGAGTATTTCCTTCATAGCACTCTGAAGTTGTTTGTATATTTCTTCCTTTTCTTGTAAAAACTTTTTCTTCCTGCGTAAGAATGAAATCTTTAGTGCCTCCCCTGGTTGCGCAGGCGGTTGACCTCCGCACTGTGAAGCTGTCTGCAGCCTCTGCAGTGTTGGTTCGATCCCGGCCTGCTGGAGAGGGTCCCACATGGCACAGCAGACCTCTCCTATCTCTCCCACTGCTCCCCTCAGCAGTGTATTTCGTCAGTCTGCCTGTTCTGTTCCCTGATCTGTCTCTGGTGAATCCTCTCACCCTCCCGCGAATGTGGCCTGTACCCCAGTTCTTGTATGAATAAATAAATAAATCTTTAAAAAAAAAAAAAGAATGAAAACTTTAAAAGGGTAGGACTTAACCTGTTTTTTAGCTGCTATAAAACCAGTTCTTAAAACACAAAAATTGTGTTTAGTGTTGAATAAATGAATACTTATTATGATTATTTCAGTTATAACAGTGTTTTCTTTGTTTTAATACATGAACAGAACCAGGAAGTATGCCCTTCTAGAATGGACTCAAGTATTGATGACAACTTCAGAGATTCATTTGTGAAGGATTTACCGTTAGTATCAAATTCTTTTGATTATTAGTAACCAAGAAATATTTAATTCTATAGTCCACTTATGAAAGGAAATTTGCATTGTATTGTATTGACTCTTGTATTCATAGTCTGATGTTCTCCTCTGAGAAAATTTGATTTGTTGCAATTCTGTTACACATAGCCAAACTAAAGCTTTCGTATATAAAATTGCCTTTTAATGTCTAGGAATAAGCAGCTTCTCTAGAATGTTTAAACAGTTCCCCTCAGTCACATTTTTCTTATATCATGTTTTTATCCTGAGAAGGGTTGATTATTTCAGTGATGGTATTTTGCCAGTCTAACAAATAGTTTAGAAAAGAAATATAAAATATATTAAGCATATCTCACTGTCTTGCTAATCTAATTCATTCATTAATACAACCATACCCCATATGCCTTCTTTCCTTTCTCTTGGATTAAGTGTACTTCATATGTTTGCTTATGAAATTTTGTTATAATTACATATATTAAAATTCACAGATCTTAATTACACAGTTCAATGAATTTGACTAATGTATATACATGTGGAACATACAAAACCTCAACAGAGCCACTGCCATAACTCTAGCTTGGGGTTTCTCAGTCTTAGCATGACTGCCATTTTGGGCCACATTGGAATATGGAGCAGCAATTTGGGCCTCTACCCACTGAATGCTACCCCCTCACCCAGTCACAAGAACCAGTATGTCTTCAAACATTGCCAGATATCCCTAGGAAGTGTAATTGTTACTGCCACTTTTGAGTCTGTCCCCCTCTTACAGAAGTAATCGCTGAGATGACTTCCTAGTACCATATTTATTTTAATCATGAATAGTTTTTAAACTACTGAACTTGAAGACCTAAAAAAATCATTTATATGTAATAGGAAAAAATTAACATGAGGTAATCACATTTATATAAGATTTCTAAAATTGTTATTAGTTGGTTATCATGTCTCTGTTACCTCAACTATATTTAATTTTTGATGTCTTAAGGGGAAAATTCGCCGCAAAAATATAAATAATATAGAGGGGCGGAGCAACATGGCGGCGAGGAGACGCTGCGAGTGAGATCTCCCATTAAAAAAAAGTTAATAGGGAGGAAAAGCGGCAGGTCCCAGTGAGAACTGGGACACGGAAGATAAACAGACGACTCCAGCAAACTACCCGAAGAAGAAAGTGGCCATAAAAGAGGACCAGAAGGGAGGAAAGCGCAGAACCCTGCTCCCTCCCCCGCCCACAAAGTCGGCACTCTCCGACCAGCAGAGAGGAGGGAAAAAAAAAAAAAAACTAACTAAAATGACCAACAAGAACAAACTACGCAGCAAGCGGGACTGTGAGTGGAAAGGAACTTTTTCACCCACCACACCCCGTGAACGGGAGCTGTGGAGAACCCTGCAGGATTCGCCGCGGAGGTGAGCTCCAGGCGCCATTAAAGATAGTCCCCGCCCCCCAAGAGGAGGCCAGCACCAGCACACAGCCCCGGGCCGCCCGGTAAGCTTGCGCGGAAAAGCGGCGCGCGCTGGAAAACCAAACGCGGATCGGGATCGGGTTTGTGCGGAAAAGCGGCGCGGATCGGAATCGGGATCGCGCGGAAAAGCAGTGCAGTTGAAAAGCAAACGCGGATCCGGATCGCAGCTGCCCAGGTCCCCGCACCTGCGACCTAGGCTTGCGGGGAGACGCGCGGAGGCCCTCACTGAGTGAGCAGGAACCAGGCGCCCAGGCCCCGGGGGCGGGATTCAAAAGGCGCCATTCCCGCGCCACTGAACTGGGCTACAGCCCGCGTCCTGGAACTGAGGGCTTTGGAACTGAGACCCGGGGCACGAAATTAGGGGCGTGGGTTTCCCCACGATGGTGGGGCACAAGGTAGACACAGCACCCCAAAGCCGTTGAGGTTTACCCTACCATTCCCGCTCTGTTCCCTGTCCCACGGGGTGGAAAATCAGCTCCCCAAGGGCTCTAGGTGAGATCTCTGGCGCCACCTAGCGACTTGAAACCAGCAGAGGCTCCTGGAGGAGCCAGTGGCCAGCGGGAGTTAGCCCACGCCGGGCCCCTTCCGACCAGTAGTCTGAGCCCACAGGGGGAGCGAGCACCCACAGCCGGGGCAGACCAGGCACGCAGAAGAGTGTGCCTGAGACCGGACGTGCAGGGAGTGTGTCCCACATCACCATTTTAGAACAGGGACATTTCTTCAGTAAAGACTACCTGCAGAAGACTTCCTCAGGAGCCAGAGGTGAGCGGGGGAAGTTCGCCCACGCCAGACCCCCTCTGGCCTGCAGTCCAAGCCCAGAGGGGGAGCAGGAACCCACCGCCGGGGCAGACCAGGCGCACAGGGGAGTGTGTCCCCACATCGGCATTTTAGAACAGGGACCTTTCTCCAGTAAAGACTGCTTGAAACTGACATATGGCTCCTGGAGGAACCAGAGGGGAGCAGAGAAGCTCACCCAAGACGCCGGCCAGTCCCAACAACACAGTGTCCAACGCATACGGCAAATTTAGAAAACAGACAGTAGGAAAGTAGAAGAACCACACGCAACTAGCAACTCCCCAGGGAAAAAAGCACACCAAAAAAGAAAACCAGCCCCGATTGCAACACAGTAACTTGAAGAACTTCTGAGCCTTCCAGAAAGAGAATTTAAAATGCCGTGATAAAAAAACTGACAGAAAGTCATAAAGAAAACAATGATAAGGGAAAAATAATCAACGATCAGAAGAATGAAAGTGAGTCCCTAAAGAGGGAAAACAATGGTCAGAAGAATGAAATTGAGTCCCTAAAGAGGGAAGTAAAAGAAATGCAAGACATCAAAGAATTAATGGAGGAACTAAAGAATTCTGGGAAGCAATGAAAGCAGAATAGATGAAATGGAAGAACGAATAAGTACTCTGAAGACACAGAAATAAAAAGAACCAAAACAGAAAAG